CTTTGTTGTTGTTGCAAAAACACACTGTCGACAGAGCCATTTTTCATCTGAATCAATCACACTGGAATCAATATGAGGTGTGTGACACAGCTGATGATAGCCTTTATATATATAAAAAAACCCAAAAAGTAATTTTATTTTATTCATCAATATTGCAAGAAACAATTTCCAAGAACACATTTTTCATTTCTTTTCTCTACATTAATAAACGTTTTAACAATGAAAACAAACCAACAAAAGGTACTTTATGTCATTAATTTTCAATAGAGGCATTAAGTATATAAAAATCTTTTTTTTCACAGATTAAAAGAAACTACTGTTTACCTTGGCCACACTTATCACATATAACCATTTCATTGGGAGCTTCTGAATACTCTTCTTGACATATTGTACAGACCATTTCCCCACTTCCAGAGGCTCCTGAAATATTTAAGGCAATAAGGAAATTGTTATAATAAAGAGTTCCAAAACTACTTTTATGGGGTAGCCCATACTGAAATTGTTATTACATAATAAGTTCTTCTCAAGGCAAAGTAAATTAAAAACCCAATGAGCCAACTGTTGACTCAAAAAACCCTATAAAATAATCGAACTGCCTCATAGGGTTTCTAAAGCTTTATTTATGAAAGAAGATTGACATATCATTTTCATAAGGAGTGGCTAGAGGGTTCTAACCATCAACTTTTTGATTAGTAGCCACCAGGTTCCCTTCAAGGCACAGAACTCTATATAAAATGCTCTTCCTCTGGTCTCTGTTCTTTTCACCTTCCCAACTTAAAATACCTAGTTCTTTAGAATCATAATTTAATCTGCTTTTAAGCAGAGAATATAATTTAAACTGATGTCAAGAGGCTTCCCTTATTAGTCTAGAAATGGCTAATATTCCAACTCTTCTAGAGGAGGGAGGGAGAAACTTTTATGAAATAGTGGTGATAATACTAAGATCACATTACTATTTCCTTACATGCATACACTCACCCTACCCCACTACTATCAAAAGACTAAGAAAAAAGTCAAAGAAAACACGTATAAGACCATATTCTCTTTGGATTCAAAGCATTTTTTAATTTACTAACTTATAAAAAAGGTCAAACATTAATTATTTAATTTCAAGCTTTTGAAATCTGGAAAAATATTATCTAGTAAGGTATGCTAACAAAATCCCAGTGACACAAAATTTGGGGATTCCACAGTTATTATTTTTTAACTTGAATAGGTAAATTATTTCTTCCTTAAACTTTTTTATTCTAAAAAAAATTATACAAAATTTAGAATATTGTTTTCACCCTAACTAACATTACCAATATTCTCTCTCAACATAAACATAAAATCATAATCCATAATCACATACCAAAAATTAAAAGTTTACAGTGTTGTACTATGAGCCAACCACTTTCTTAGATTCACTTTACCTATTATTTTCTTCATTTAACTCAACTGAATTATTAGGTAAATTTCCTATTTAGAGAAGAACTGAGGCTCAGAAAGATAAAGTAACTAGGTAGTCATGTTCAAGTACTGGTCTCTCCATGTCCAGAACAAAGAACAGTGAAGAAAATTAAAAGAACAATGAACAATTGAATCAATTTCAATATTCATGACCAGAGACAAGAGGAACTAGATGGTGCCTGGCTAACACTGTTGACTGACCTTAAAAGGATCATGACAGATGGTCCCAGATAAAATCAGAGAAAAATGTGGCACAAAACTCTAAATCATAAAATTGACTAGGCTTACTGGTCTGTTAAAGACTGGTAGAACCCCCAAGACTATGGCCCTTAGTCACCCTTCAAAACCTGGAAATGAAATCTCCTATGTGACTCAACTTTCAGCCAACAGACAGGCCTGTAAGTTGAACAATACCATCAGGAAGGAGAACACTACTTAGATCAAACATGCAAGATCAAAAGGTCAGCATATGCCAAGATATAAATGCTCAACAGGCAGGAAGGGTTAGGAAAAGAATGAAAATAGAAAACATGGGAAAGAAGTAGTAAGAGCATGCATTACATGGAAATGAACATCAATGTAACAACACATAAAAGTGTATGAATGGTAAATCAAGTTGCTGTATAAATTTTTACTCAACTAATAAAGTTGTTTTTCTTTAAAAAAAAAAAGACGAGAACCCTTTGCCAGAGAGTATCAAGGTTATGATGATGCAAATCCAGAAAGCTCTAAGTCCATATTCTTTCTGGACATGACAGTGTTGCTTATCATAAATACTACACAATATTTCTTCTATCAAAAGCCGTTTTCATAACACTATACTGTTTTCAAAGCTATGACTTCTATTAACTGTACAATATTCTATCCAGTGAACAGAACTGAATTTGCTGCATTATTTATTTCTCTATTTTCAGTCATGTACTTTTCCATACTGGATTTTTCTGCATTTGCTGGTTAGTTGATTTTTTGGTTATTTATTCTTTTTCTTCCCCAGGCTAAATCTACTTGTAGGATATGTCCTATTCACAGTTTCCAGGTTTCTGGGTCCTTGAAGTCAAGACAGCAGCAAAACTAAATCTAGATCCTCTTAGCTCAGATCCTCAATTCTACAAAAGAGTCTGTTGGCTAAGTGGTAAGAAATTGTACTGCCAATACAAAGATACATGATTCGACTCCACCACAGATGAAAGATGGACAATCAACTCCTTTATCATTCACTATCTCCAAAAACCCACTGAAGGGTCAGCTATGAATCAACTGAAATTCGATGGCACATAACAAACAGCAACTCAGCTTGGAGCAAGTGTCTCATATGAATGTACCCATTTAGGGGAAGGAAGTTCCCCCAGAAAAAGGATCTGACAAATTTCCATTCACCTCAGGATACAATTCCAAGGAATCCGAAAATTTCCTTTACTTTTTATATTTAAAAAAAAAAAAGCAAAGCACTGCCTTTTCAATCAACATATTCACCAGAATTTTCCCATGTCATTTAATGTCCTACTATAGGTTCCTTTTACCTCTAAATTAAGTCCTGACCATTTCATCCTGCAAACATTAATTTTTGTTGCCGTTTTTAAAATAAAATAATCCATAGTTTCATCTAGCTTCTTTTTCAACTTTTTAGCATTCAAAAAACCAAAACCCACCCTCTGCAAGTAGATTCTAACTGACTGCAGTGACCTTCCATGGAATTTCTGAGGCTATAAATCTTTACAGGAGACTGGTAAAGATCCACAGTATTTTCCTATTTTGACTATCAAATACTACCATTTATTTTTAAAACCTTTTAAAAGAATCTTATGAGATGAGCAAAATTCACCTACTAAATTTTTTTATATGCATCTATTATTAACAAAAGATGTTGTTCAGAGAAGGAAATTACTATTGCAACTTGGTACACTAAAATGTGCCTAATTAGTTTTCAGGTACAGAACCATGGCTTGAAGATATAGTCCCTTCACTTGCTCATTTCTACTCTAACCTCAAGTTCATGGGTGCTACAAATAGTTAAATGGTAAAAATACAGTTCTTTTAGTACTTCTAGATATAGAAAAATGAGTCAGTGAACAAGAAGTCACAATACACTTGTTGTGTGTTATCAAGTTGGAACCAACCCATAGCTGACCCTCTAGCAGGTTTTCAGAGGCAGTAAATCCACAGGCGTAGATTGTCCATCTTTCTCCTGTGGAGCAGCTAGTTGGTTTGAACCAAGTGTGCACTGGCAGCACAACTCCTTACCATTAAGCTACCAGAGCTCCCTATATTAGAAAAGTGATATACTGGAGAATAGGTTCAACAGGACTCCTCAGTTTCATAACTATAAAAAGACACTGGTGAGTGGGAGAGAGCAAAACCTATATTCACAAGATGGAAAAGCATACCTATGGTTGAAAACTCAATATGATCAACGTCACGGATTACCCTTTAAAATTTTATAGTAAAACTTTTCTCACTGACTCTTTCATTTCAGATTTAAAACATAACTTCATATTTTAAACTGATTGTTTGAAAATCTATATGAAGATTTTCTGGAATGACTTTTTACTATAGGAACATTATCTTGGTGAAAATTAGCAAATGTAAAATTTTTTACTAAAAATAAAACTTTTTTTTAAAATAAAAGCCATTTGTGAGCATGGTGTTCACACGTGTTTCAGGGAAGATCCATACTCTAAAATATTTTCCTATTATTTGAGGAAAAATTAGAGGTTAACTAAGTTTGGATTAAAATAAAGAACCAAGGAGGTAAACACTTTAAGAAAGGGATTTTTCCTTTAGAAAAAGAACGTTTATTAGGACATTAACGTTCTACCAGACACAATAAAAAGCATAGGTCTTAGGTGTAAACCTAATAACTCAAAAACAAGAAAACTAAAAGTATGGCTTCAACAAAACATTAAAAATGTTTTTTCAAGGGAGCTCTGGTGGCCTAGTGGCAAGAAGCTGCACTGCAATCCCAGAGGTCAGTGGTTCAAATCCACCAGATGCTCTGCTGGAGAAGGAGGGGCAATCTCCTCCTGTACCAGTCAGATTTGATTTGATGGTACACACAAAAGATAATAAAATATAGTAAAAAAAAAAGTTTTTCACACAAGATCGTTACCATTTGCTTCACACGCACTCCCAATGAATTGTACAACCCTATGATTGAAGGGTGGGTGGTGGTGGTGAAGAAAATGGGAAAGATCTTTTGTAAAAAAGTGTATTCAAACACAGTAAATAAATCAGTATAAAATTAAAAAAA